TTAGTTTTGGTTCTTATGCTATTTCTTTTCAGGCAAGGCTAAACTGCTTTTGTAATACTTTGTTGGTTTGGTACTGAAAGTGCTGGACATTAGCACAAGACAAAATTTCTTAAGGTGAAAACGTTTTGTTTATCCTTAATTATGTGGAGATGGAGAGGGTTGGTAGTTTTAAATATCTGGCCATTTATATCTCGAAGGACCTCTCATGGACTATGAATGCTAACATACTCGTGAAGAAGGCACAGAAGAGGCTGTACTTCCTGAGAATGCTCAGGAAGATAAATCTATCTCAGCATCTACTTCTGCCCTACTATCACAGCACCATTGAGAGTGTCCTGACATATGGCATTCTTGCATGGTATAGGAGCAGCTCTGTAGTGGACAAAAAGGCTCTACAGAGAATCATTAAAACTGCCCGGAATATCATCCGGCTCCAGCTACCAGCCCTGGACGACATCTTCGAATCTCGCTGTTTGAGAAAGTTGTATAACATTCTCAGAGACTCTTCCCATCCTGCTTAGAATCTTTTTGAATCTGTTGCCTTCTGGCAGAAGATACGGAACAATTAAAACTCGGACCACACGTTTTCTGAATAGTTTTTATCCCAGAGCTATATCTGCACTCAATAATGAACTAAAGGGCCACCATCAGTAATCTGTTGGACAGCATTACTTGGTCTGTTGTGTGGATGTTTGGGTGGTTTAGGGGTGGGGAATTTGTGGTGGTGGTGGGTGTTTGGGGATTGTTATGTGTGTTGGACTTGGTCTTTGGGTGTTAAGTGAATTTCATTGTATGGGTATACTGTGTATATATGTACAATGACAATATAGTTATTAAATGAAAGTGTGGCTATCTTGAGACTAGCAAACTGTAAATGGCTCTCAACAACTTCCCCTTCCCCCCTCCTTCCCTGTCCCCTTCCTTCTCCTTCCATCCTCCTCTTCCCCTAATGTATCCATTTCAAAGGCTAATGGCATCAGAATTCAATTTTCCATTATTTTGGGCAAAAAAAATGTAAAAAGTGAAGGCTTTATTTAAGGATGAAAATTCAAGTATCTTCCCAAACCCCAGAAAAATCACCCCTTGGGATGGCACTGTCTTGACTGCTGCAAGATAGAAAGGCTTTCAGCCACTCAATGTTGTCATCCTGATCTCACACTGCCTAGTTCTTCTATTAAGTGTTAAACCATAAGAATTCTCAGACTTCCAATTTAAGAATGCAAGTAAAATGGCTTCAGATAAAAAACATACCTTGTAACGTATTGTGTGCAAGAATATTAGTATTTCTCAGCTTGGCCAGTTTTCGGTGTGTGGACCTCGGTTCCCAGAATTTTTCCCAACCAACAAGGCTGGCTGGAGATTTCTGGGAGTTGAAGTCCACACATTTGAAAATGACTAAGATTGAGAAACACTGGAAATAAATCTCATCCTAACTCTGCTTCTCTTTATTGTTCATGTCCTGATGGAAGTAAAGATTAAACACCTGTTCCTTAGAACATCCTGCTTCATGTATTAATGAACAATAATTCCAGAAGATAGTTTTTGCTTTATGAATTTTAATGCTTGGGTTTGCAGCTATGAAAGTAAAGCTCTTATTGGACATTTCCATGTAAATCTGAGGTAGATTCAAGATAACAGCAGTGGGAAAATTCTGCTGTGTGTTAAATAAAAGTGAAATCTGGCATACAGTTATCGGAAAATAAATTTTGCTAAAGTCAGTGGGATTTCATGTTGAGTGGATTGTACCAGAAAGCTTTATAGTTTTCTGCTTTATTTATATATTGGATTTATAACCCATCTTTTATTTGTGAACTTTAGGCAGCATCCCTCCTATTTTTCCGTACAGCAGTACAATAAGGGCAGATACATTCTGTCCCCTGCTCAGCCCCCAGATTTCACTGGTTCCGGAACTGCCTCTTTGCCTCAGCCTGTCGAACAAGTGTCTCTTCGAATTGGAGAAGGCCATGCTGCATCTTTAGCCTCCAAGCTGAACGATCGGTGGTCAAGGTTTCCCAGTTGTTAATGTCCCTTCCCAGGGCCTTTAGGCCCCTCTTGCAGATATCCTTATATCGCAGCTGTGGTCTCCCTCTGAGGCACTTTCCCTGCACTAATTCTCCATACAGGATATCTTTCGGAATCCGACCATCAGCCATTCTCACGACATGCCCCCGTCAATATAGATGTCGCTGTTTCAATAGTGTATACATGCTAGAAATTCCAGCACGTTCCAAGACTGCGCTATCTGGAACTTTGTCCTGCCAGGTGATGCCAAGAATTCGTCGGAGACAGCGCATATGAAAGGTGTTCAACTTTCTTTCCTGCCGTGCGTAAGGTGTGACTCCTGCCCTCAGTGTGGAAGGGATTGCCACTCTCGAATTGGCCTTTTTAGTCACACTAGATGCTCTAGAGGACCTCTTTTCAGAGCACGATACCATAGTCTCTTGAGACTGAAGGATGCCAATGTAAGTACAATAAGGAAACCACTATCTGGGGCTCCATTCACTCTATTTATTGTGGATATAATCCAAGCAAAAAACAACCAACAACCAAACAACCAAATAGAAGCCTGTTTACTTAGACACTTCTCTACCCTCCAAAAGCCATTGCTACTGACTGTCCTGGGAGGTTAAATTTTTGGAGATTTTTCAAATGTTTTTCTCCAAATATTTTTGTCTTTGTTTTTATTCTTGCTGAAATTCTCCTAAAATTCTTTTGTAGAACTTACATCATTAAAAAACAGCATATACATATTTCAAATAAATATATGAATAAATAATAAAGACAATGGAACAGAATATATTTTGTTGGAAAATTACACAGCTGCAGTCTTGAGGAATTTCAAATATCAAATTAACAATGAGCATTTAAAAGGGAGGAGAGGAGCAATTAATATGCAAGGCAGGAAAACAAGGACTACAGGGAGAGCTAACAGAGAAGCAATGGTAAACTCAGAAAATGTCTTTACCAGATGGTTCATGTGCTATTAATTATAAACATGGCCGCTCACTCTTATTGAGTGGATTACCATAAACACTTGTGTTCCTATAATTTTTTAGTTTCATTTACAAAGCTAGATTAAAAATATTAATGGAGCAGCTGGGTTGATGACGCAAAATGTATGAAAAAATGTTGTGGTTTTTTTGCTTTGGTTGGGTACAAGTTATTTTTTCCCTTCTTTTTTGTAAATTATATTCACTCTATTTTAGGATTTACGCCCGTATTTTTGTTTCATTCATTCACTTTTCAAGGAAATCTTAAGGATAGGGTTATCAGTTTTGGCCTGCAGGTATTAAAACAGGCCAAAACTGATAACACAGTTTTGGACACAAGATGTTAGAGTTTGGGGTGTTTCTCTGCTGCCATCTAGTGGGCATCCAGAGTTTTCTTTCCAGCAGGCTTGAATCTTGCAGATCCCTATCCAAAACACCCACCCCCCACCAACTGTTTGGAGGTTTATTTTGGTTAAACACAGAATAGGAAATCATAAGGAAGGGTTGTTTTATCTGGGCCACAGCTGGCTCAAGCAGATCAAGAGAACTTCATGAACATAATGCTTTCTTTCTGTGGGAAGAAATATCCATCTGGTTCAGTTCCAAGCTGTGAGAAAGGCACTGGAGACAAAATGGAGGCTGGAGGCTGACTGGAAAGGAGGTCAATTTATTGATGAACAGGACCACATGGGTTGTGGTTCTGGTGCAGCTGACCACATGGAGTTGAGAGTGGGGGCTTCTCTTGGGTTTTGCACTTGAACTTCCTGTTCCTGTGCAGGAACATGTATTCTATTGGCTGTTGTCAGACTCCCATGATGCCATGTACAAATTCTAGAAATTTGTCTGAGCTAAGTTTGTTAGGGATGATGCAATGAAAAGGCTTGTTGGGTAATTCCTATTGTGGCTGAGGGCTAATCCTACCTTTGTTCAGATCTTGCTGCATAGGATTTGCTTATGAATAGAGCTATCTATCTCTTTATCTCTTAAGTGCTGACATCTGCTGAGGGCTATTAAGAGAGGTGGGTGCTGCTTTCCAAGATCATGTTTCTCCATTTCTCTCTTTAGGGAAATATAATATTCTGCCTTTTTAATATTTCCTAAAATATTTCATTCTTCTAGGAGAGGGGTGGGTGCTAACTTTCTACATTTCAAAAGTCTCTTCTGGTGAGATGGGCAACCATATACATTCAATCAATACATTCTAAAATATCATGCAATCATTGAAAATGCATTCTTTCTGATGCAGAAATATCAAGAATTGTTGAGTAGTGAGGGAGACCTACTTACGAGACAAGAACTGGAAAGATGAGGCATTATGATTGATTGGTGGCCATACCTTCAAATTGAGTCAAAATATACAGCAGACCGGAGACATTATGATTTTCAAAGCCAACCAAGTGAACTAGATAAAATTTTAAAAGGCACAGATGAGAAAATAATATCTAAAATTTATGGATATTTAATAAGGTATAAATTAGAGGAGGAAACAGTGAAAGAAAACATGGTAAGCTGGGCAAGAAATATAGGTCACAATATAGAGTTGGACAGATGGGACAAGCTATGGGCAGAAAATTATAAGATGACACTGTCGATTCCATACAAAGAAAATTTATACAAGATATTTTATAGATGGCACCTTCCTCCAGCACGTTTGGCTAAAATGTTTCCAAACACATCACCAATGTGTTGGAAGTGCAAGACACAAATGGGGACATATTACCATCTCTGGTGGTCTTGCAGGAAGGCACAACATTACTGGCAAGAGATTAAGAGAATAATTGAAGAAACAACGAGGCAAAGTGTAGAAATGAAACCAGAATTCTTTCTATTTGGAATGACTACAACACAGTGTACCAAGGAGATAAAATATCTTACCATCCACATATTGACAGCGGCACGTATAGTGTATGCTCAGAATTGGAAATCCGAGATAATACCAACAGAATAAAAAATAATAACAAAAATAAATGAATGCGCAGAGATGGATAGGCTCACAAAAGAGCTCCAAGATAAAGAGAACACTGACTTTTATTTAGTTTGGCAAAAATGGTACACATGGTTAGAAGGAAGGATAGGGCCAACAACATAGGACACTAGGAGAACATAACTCAAGAATTGCAGAAATAGATACATGAGATGAGCCGTAGGATTGTATAAATAAATGGTTAATATGATTGTAGAAAGATACTGCTGAACTTCTATGAATGTATTAAGGTATAAGCAAGTAAATTTGTAAATAGTATGATTAAGGAAAATTGGTTAAATGGACATTAATCACCGATGCGAAGGTTTTCTAGAAGTTAGTCGATTGATTTTTTGTTAATGTATAAGTGTTTACATGTATTTGTGTTTTATGTTTGTCTATGTTAATAAAATTTAAAAAAAGAAAAAAGAAAAGAAAATGCATTCTTTCTATAATCAGTTATGGATAAAATATTTTACGTTAAACAAGCAGGAAAGAGAATTCAAAGTACCTCCCTATTTTTCTTTTTTTTTTGTTAAAGCATCAGGAGAAATGCAGTAAATTAAAAGGTGCTCCTTTGCAGATCAACATGTACTTTAAACATGTTGTGTTCTCTTTTCGGATGGAACAGGGGACAAATCAGTGGAGTTGGTAATGAAGAAGAAGTTTCAACCAACAAAGAATCATACAGGAAGAAATGGAGTGAATATTCAAAAAGCCTACCCAAATCATTTATTTTTTAAAATGAAGCAGATATTCCTATAGCTAGTTATTACTTCACACCTAAGAAATAAGGAATTCATTATGTTTCGCCTGCATGCACAAATACGGATGAATAAAATGACTGCAGGCATACAGATATCACAACTCCCTCGCTCCACCACTGGAGGACTTGGGGATTGAGACCACTTCTCCTGAATGAGCCAGTGCAACCTGGGAGAACTCCTTGAGTCTAAGCTGTGAGTGGATTTGCAGGCAGTGCTGTAGGTCAAGAAGCACTTTTGCAGAAGTACCTCAGATAGACCAGCTGCAACCCTTCTGGAGCTGTTAAATTTGGCAAGAGGTGTTTTTTTTTTTTAACACCTAGGATCAGCCTTTCCTTGGTGATTGCAATATGTTTGATATGAAGCTACTCTTGAAACATTTCCAGAAACTGTTATTGGTGCAAAATGTGGCAGCTGGACTGACAAGTTGTGCTGAAAGATCTGTATCTTTATACTTTATAAATCTGCAAAACAAATTATGTTTAGTCATCAATGGATCCCAAGTCATATCCCTGAAGCAATTGATTCCAAGTCATATTCCACAATCTTCATGCCTGACAGCAAACACAGATGTTCCCATTTTCTTTCCAATACCATTTTAACATAGTTTGGTGAACTGTCACAAACATTGGCGCTTATAAGCAAACCAATTATATCATTTACAAAAGACTGCTTCAGAGTATCATGAAAGTGACTTGGAAGATGGGTAAATTATATAAATGATGATAGATAGATAGATAGATAGATAGATAGATAGATAGATAGATAGAGCTAGAGATGATAGATAGATAGATAGATAGATAGATAGATAGATAGATAGATAGATAGATAGATAGATGATGGAGGGATGGAAAGAGAGATCTTCAGAGTCGAAAAAGACATACTGTTGTGCAGTTCATCTGTGAACTCAGAGATTGCTCTGCAGTCTGGCAGCACAGAATATAGCATAAAAGGGGCATTGGAAGTCCATTATAATAGCTATAAATATTATTCTTTGATGCTACTAATGGTTGTCTATTCAAACCCAGTGGAGGCTTCATAACACAGAGCTCGCCAGCAAGTTGTGTCAGCAGCCATAACTTCTAGTTGCCTTAGCTGGATGTGACAGCGGTATAGGGTTTCTTTCACACAGCATCTTCGTAGCATATGTGTAATGACCCTGAGGTTTCTTTCTGGTCTCCAGTACACTAGAGAGCAACTAGCAGGATATATAGCAGATGTCTATTCTGATGACATATCTCACCTACCATATCGAGTCAATGCTGGTGGATTCCCTGTGATCCAAAACCTCCAGGCTGGAGACATGCCTTCCAACAAATTTCTCCAGATGTTTGATCTGTCATCAATGCAGAATCCTGGATTCATATCCCTATAAGAGAACATGGATAACCACAGCTCTGTAGACTTTCAGATTTGGGGAGATAAGGGTATTGTGTTGATTGAGAATCCTAGTACAGAGTCTAGTTGGCCTTTGGAGTCAATTTCTTCTTCCAAAGACCCATCACTTGCTTCCCAAGTATTTGAAACTTCTTACCTTTGTCAGCTGGGTATCATCAATAGTGATTTTTGGATCAAATACCAATGTGGTTGGTATTTGGCACAGGTTGATAGAACTACCAGTTCTTTTCAGGCAGATAAGTCAGGCCAAAGAACATAGCAGTGTCTGATAATTTGTTCAGTATCAACTGCCAGCCACTGTCTTTGTGCACTGGGAACACATTCATCAGCAAAAAGGGTTTCTTGAATGACTGTATGGAGGCACTTCATTTGTGGGTTCAAGAAGTAAAGTCAAAGAGACTTCCTGTTTACAGTGTCAAATGCCTTTGTCAGGTCAATAAAGACAGTCAAGAAGTTTGTTTGTTCAATGCATTTTTGATGGATTTGTTTCATGGTAAATATCACATCTGCTGTACTTTGTTCTAGCCCATCACTGTGTCCCTGAGAGGTTCCTTTCCAAGAAGTGACAAGTTTGAAGAGAGAATGCAGGCAAAAATCTTGTCTGTGATGGACAGCAGTGAGATACCCTGTAGTTTTCATAGTCTGATTTTCTTCTCTTAGTTTTATAGAAAGCCACAATGAAGGCATCACAGAATCTTCAGGCATCTCTTCTATGAGCCAAGTATCTGCCAAGATGTACTGGAATATCTGTAAAGAGTTTGAGGGCTTTGTAGATCTCAGCAGTAGAACGCTACCCTGCCCTGTTGCTCTATTTGAGTTCATATGTAAAATCCAGTGGATTTTACTACCAGTTCTGTGGGTGTGGCTTGGTGGGCATGACATGGTGGACATGGCAGGGGAAGAATACTGTAAAATCTCCATTCCTACCCCACTCAAGGGGAAGGATACTGTAAAATCTCCATTCGCTCCCTACTCCAGGGGAAGGATGCTGTAAAATCTCCATTCGCTCCCTACTCCAGGGGAAGGATACTGTAAAATCTCCATTCCCATCCCACTCCAGGAGAAGGATACTGCAAAATCCCCATTTCCTCCCAATCAGCTGGGACTCGAGAGGCAGAGAATAGATGGGGACGGGGCCAGTCAGAGGTGGTATTTACCGGTTCTCCTACCTACTCAAAAGTTCTGCTACCAGTTCTCCAGAACTGGTCAGAACCTGCTGAAACCCACCTTTGGTAAATCACTTTCCTGATCTCATCAGTAGAAGGAGGCAGACCTAGGCACCCAAGACTGGCAGCAGAGGAATGTCAGGATTTCTGTTGTAAAACATCAGGATCAACTATTCAATAATTTGGAAAAGTGCTCAGTCCAATAGTTCTCAGTTCTTCCTGGTCAGTTGATCTGGTTCAACTCCAGGAGATGACAGCAAGTGGGAACATCCCAATTTAGAAGCACCATAAATGGCTTTTATGGTGCTGAAGAACTCTCCGGTGGCATGCATATCTGCATAGCATTCCATCTGCTTAGCAGGCTTTCTCAGCTACCGCTCAGCCTGCATTTCTTGCAGTTTCTCCTGTACTTTGGACTGCAGATATTTTAAACTGTGTATCTTTGAGATAGATGATAAATGCCAGCTTGCATAGCTTTTGTTTTGGCCCGGAGGGCTGCTGAAATGGTCTCATGGATTTCATCAAAAGCAATCTTGGTGCACCCAGGTATTCAGTACAACTACCATTGTTGCAGTCTGAGTGATGACATTTTTAAACTGCATCCACTTTTCAGGTTGTAGCAGGTTCCTACAAGTGATAAATTGTCAGAGAGTTTTTATTATTATTATTATTAAATACATCTTGAAAACATTGGTCTTGACCTGGGTCCTGCAGTCTGAAGTTGATGATGTACTGCCAGTCCTTCGTGGCATACTGTGTAAAGGGCTACATGCAGGTTGAGGATTGACCAGACCAGCCTGTGATCTATCAAATACTTGACTATGTCACAGTTCATCAGCACAACCTCAAAGACGTCGCCATCACCTGGAAAATATAATATAGCAGCTTTATGTTATGGTGTCACCCTACAGTCAACACCCTACAGGGATACACCCTTTCACAAGGATTGTTTTGACATGATTCTTCTTGGTAAGACACTTTGAAAACTGCTCACCACAAAGGTCAATGTTATCACAGACAGACAAAATTATCTTTAAAATTGTCTCTATGTAGACTCCAGAGTAAACAACACATATCATCACAGCCAGCTTTGCCACTTCCCATCTAGCCCCATGCAGCTCTATATTTCAGTATAAGAAGATCAGCAGGTGATCAGGCATTTGACTGCTGTGGTCTTCCATCAGGAAGGAAAAATCTAAATTGCTTCTTCTTGATTTCCAGTAAGAGAGAAGCTTAGCAGCATGGGGCAAGTTGGAAATGGCCAGCTTAAGTCACTGGACAGCTGCTGGCTGGTGCCAAAAAAAGGGAAAGGGAATAGATGCAAATTTATACCCTTTCCAAATGGATCATTACATAATTAAAATAATAAAAACAAACACATGATGGATTATTAAAGATAAACACATAAGAACATGTCCAAAGACTTATAAATATAACTCTCCAGAATTTATTTGTGAAATAAGTTAGTACTAAGCAGGCTTTAAAAGAAATATTGCTATGACTCAGTGATTTAAAATTATTCGGAACTGCTATGTCAGAAACCAATTTGCATCATTATGTCTAATTTCAGGAACTTGATATCAGTCACTTATCAATTTCCCTCTTTCCCAAAATCTGTATTTTACTAACTTTCTTCCTTTTTATTGTCTTTGATCCTCTCAGTGTTGTAGAGTCTCCAGAAAAAACAAGCTATGTAGCACATCTATAACTGCACAGAACACAAACCATTAAAGGACATGAGGCTGCCACAAAGAAGAGGGGGGTCAATTTATTTTCCAAAGCACCAGAAGGCAGGACAAGAAACAATGGATGGAAACTACTCAAGGATAGAAGCAACCTGGAATTGAGGAAAAACTTCCTAACAGTCAAGACAATTAATCAATGGAACAGCTTGCCTTCAGATGTTGTGAGTGCTTCATCATGGGAGATTTTTAAGACTAGACTGGACTGTCAATTGTCTGAAATGGTATAGGATCTCCTCTTTGAGCAGGGGACTGGGCTAGAAGGTCCAAGCTCTATTCTGATTCTGATTCTGAAAGTATAACTCAACAAAGAAGAAAAGTTATCAGCAATCTTAACTGATAAGGGTACCGGAGGGGGAAAAAAAGTAGTGTGACAGACAGAGCGGTGGCAGGATAAGAATAGAAGGAAACAGGAAAATGGGTGTCATGTCCAAGAATATGTATGAAGGATCCAGATGGGCCCTTCAACCTGGCGGTCTCTTGGTTGATGATGGACAGTAGAAGCCATAGGGACTTGGTAACAAGAAATGATACCTTCACCTACAGTATTTGATTTGATTGGGACTTTCTCCTGTGATTGTTCTGTAAGGAACAGGGCCAAAGAAGAAGAGCAAAGCAGAGAATTATGAATAAGGAGAAGCCAGCAACACTTTCTTAATAGTGCAAGTGTTCCTGAAATCTGTGAAGATTTAAAATTTGATTTAGGAGAATCAGTGAAAATGAATGATGACTAATATTTAAAAGATGAACTATCATCTTTTAATCAGAACAAAGAGATTTGTTGTTACAAGTTCAAAAGATCTTTATTGGTAATGGGGAGAACTTTGGATTTACTATGAAGGAAACTTGGGAAGTAGGGAAATAAATAATTCAGAGGCCTTGGGGCTGAATAAAAGCAGCATAGAAAAATGCAGAGAGAATTGCAATGGGGGAAAAAGGTCTATGAACATGTTACAGGTTACAGGGGTATGGCAGGAAAAAAATTCAGCATGCAAAATTTCAGAAGTAGGAAAAAAGTTAAAAAACTGGGGAGGGAAAGGTTAACTGAGAATGAAAAAGATGAAGTTGGGGTGAGAGGGAGAAAAGATGTAATAGGCAAGGCTTGGACATCCTAGCCAGGCAGCAAAGGAGTGAAAGGATTGTTAGCTTTCTGTTCCTTTAAGGTGAGGATGGACAAGCTTAGAATCCGCAGGGCCAGATACAGTTTACACAGCTGTAAACAATCTTTTAAAAACTGCCACCAGGATGTAATTATTAATGTAACAGAAAAGTAAGTGTGAGGAGAAAAAGGGCATTAGCCTCAGCACATGGCAGCACTTGCTTAATCTTGTCTAGGCTGGGGAGCTAAGTAGGTTGGTCCTGGATGGATGAAAGGGATTAAAAAATACCAAGTCTATGAGTTAAAACTGCAGGGAGAAAAAATTTATGAGGAGACAGGAGGCAAGCCAGCTCTGTACTGTTGCCAAGGAACTATATGGATCTATCCATGAAATCACCAAAGAGGAAAGCTCAGCTTGGGGGACACTTTACCTTTTAATTATATTTGTTCCAGGTGTAATTAAAAATCAAATTTAGCCCTTGCAGGCTGCTTAAAGAACAAAGATAGGCCTTAACTTTTTAAAAAGTTGAGCCCTTGTTTTGAGATAATCTTTGTTTCACCATCATAGCTCAATGAATGCTATGTCAGTTTGTATAATAAAGCTTATCTCATCCATAGCTTGATTGTGAATGAAAGGGTCAACCTGACATGCTTTACTGAAAACTGGCTGGGTGGGGACCCCCTCCCCCTCTTGAAGATGTGCCTTTCCAGATTTCAGGTGTGGCACCAATAGTGATTTCAGGGTAGGAATGGGTATGTGGCTGTAGTTTATCTGGTAGTCTTTGGTGACTCTTAGGGATGTTGTCAGATAGAGCCAGATGAGAGGTCCTGTTCATGAAACTGGGCTATTCAGTTGGAGCTGCTGCTTGCCTACGTTCCTCTCTGCAGCAGAAGGGTAGCCATGCCTCTTAAACTATTAAATTATGTGATTTGTGCTAGTACGGTCAACTGAGAAGGGATTCATCTTGCAATGAACTGGTTTAGGACAATACTACCAATATTGCCTGCAATGACACTCTAATGTCATTTTTTGTTGTTTGGGGACATGAATATGTATATAATTTCATATTCAGCTGATATTGCTGGCTGAGAACCAAAATGATTGGAATAAATGTTAGCTAAATTGTATGAAACAAGGAGTATGGATCTGAAAATTAATGTATCCAAGGCCAAAGGATTTGTTTTTTACAGGGAGAATAGAACTGTTGCAAGATATATAAATGGTGTAAAACCAGAACAAAGTGAAACATATGTGTATCTTGGTAGAATGTTTATCAAAGATATTGAGTTCTTGAAATATTACTCTTTTAAAAGATTAGCAAAATAATTTACCCTGCAATAACCTTTGCCTAGCCCATTATCACTGCATCATTAAAGTTAATATAGCTATTAGTTTCAATATATTGACAAAAAAAGTAAAAAAAAAAACATTCAGAAACATTATAGAACAAATCAACAAACATGTAAAATATTAAGCCCTGCCATAAAACTGAATGATACATACTTAGGAGTAAACTGCACTGAATTCAAAGTACTTAATCCCAAGTAACTATAATGTTGCAATTTAAATTGTGGATATTTATTATTACCTTATGACCCTTAAAATCAGCTACGATATTAAAACATTCATGTATAAGAAAACAACAAAACCAATACTTATGGGATATAACCTTATTAACATCTGTGAATAGATAAGAGTAATATTTATATATCTATTTGCAAAGATTTGTGCCTTTTCATATAACTCCAAAGTTTTTTAAAAAACACCTCTGCCTGAATTAAGGTATTATAACAGCTGTTCTCTCCAATTTTCTACAATCCCAGAGCTTACTACACAGGGTAAGACTTACTAAGAATTATCTTAATGAATAAAATAAAATTTTCTTGATTTATATTGCTTAAATTTACTCCAAAGACTTGGAGTAAATTTGTGTCACTTTTAAGGTTAACATGTACTTCTGATTTTGAATAAAACACAATTCTGTGTATGCTTAACACGGAAGTAAGTTTCACTTGAAAGAAGTTTGCTATTGAGAAAATAAAATTGCTCTTTTGGTTCACCCTGGGCAAATTTCCAAACAGACCACCCACATGGCCAATCTCACCTTGCTCGGGGGCCCCCACCTGGATGGTCTTTAGAAACCGTTCCCAACAAGGGAAGGGAGACGACGACGTTCACTTGCAGTCCTTTAGGGCAGCCATCCCCAGGCCTTCTGTCCCAGACTCATACTGGGTGCCCGAAGAGGACGACCGCCTCCAAGAACAGTGCAAGTTGGAGCCCTTCTTGCGAAAGGAAGAGGTGAAGCGGTAGAACTTCCTATGCTGGTTCCGAAGATACTCGCGGTAGTTCCTGGTCAGCAAGATATAAAGGAAAGGGTTGATGCAACTATTGCTGTAGGTCAGGCAGGTGACCAGGTAGTTGATATACTTCTGGATGTGGAGCGGCAGCCCCAGGGGGCCGTGGTAAAGGGACACCAGCTGCCAGATCCAGAAGGGCAAGAAGCAGGCCCAGAAGACCAGCACGATGGTGAAGACCAGGATGAGAACTTTCTGGCGGGGAGAGCGCTTGGGCCCCGTTTTGCGCGGCGGGTTCTTCTGAGACTCCAAGTAAGTGGCGGCCAGGCGGGCGTAGAGGCAGCCAATGAGCAGCCCGGGGGCCAGGATGCTGGTGCTGAAAAGAACCGTCAGGTAGAGCCGAAAGGCGGCGGGGCTCCAGGTCGGGGCGCAGATATGCTTGCCGTCGCCGCTCTGGCTCAGGGTGACCATCAGCATCATAGGCAGGGTCAGCAGCAGCGAGATCCCCCAGACGGCGCCGGCGGTGATCCTGCGGAAGCGCGGCGCCCGGTACCTCACGGCCAGCGGCCGGGTGACGGCCAGGTAGCGCTCGGTGCACATGACGGTGAGGGTGAAGATGCTGGCGTGCATGGTGAGCAGATCCAGGCTGAGCAGGAAGCGGCAGCCCAGCTCGCCGAAGTACCAGTCTTGGGCCAGCGACGTGCCCACGATGAACGGGATGGAGCACAGGTAGAGCAGGTCGGCCAGAGCCAGGCTGGCAATGGAGCCGGATAAAGGCGCGCTCCGGGCTCCCCGGCCCGAGCGCCACAGCAGCGCCAAGGTGTACACGTTGCCCGTCACGCCAGCCACACACATGACGGAGAGGACCGCGCCGAAAACCCAAGTCGCCGCCGCTTCCCCGCTGGTCCCCCCCGCTGCTGCCCGAGAAGACTCGTTGCCAAGCCCCGCGCTCAAGTTGCGCTCCATTTCGAGCGCTGGGGGAGGGGAGGGCGGGAAACAGCAGTCGCCTTCCCCCCCCCCCCCGCCACAACTTGCCGCGCGGTGGCCACCGCCTCACGTTCTCCCGGCAGGGCTCCAGGCGGCCACTGGCTGGCTCCGTTCCCGAGTCTTGCCTGCCCCGAGCTCGGCGGCTGCCGCTGCTTGAGCAGCCTCCTGGGACCGGGCTTCTTCTTCTTCTTCAGCGGCTTGGCGGTCGGAGTTGAGTAAAAGCTACTCAAGTAGTCGAGAACGGCACTTGCGCTCATGGGGAGGGCGTTTGGATTCGTGGGATTGCCTTGTGCATGTTTTATGGGGCTGAGTTGCTGCTTCCTAGTTGGAAAGCAACTAACCTCGGAGGGGAAAACTTTGACCAACTTTATTGTCACTTTGAATGTACACTAATTTGGCATATATTAAAAATGAATTTTCGTTGCATGCAGCTCTCAAAGGGTCACCAACCTCCAATATACATTACACAACCATGGGAGAAAGAAAGAAAGAAAGAAAGAAAGAAAGAAAGAAAGAAAGAAAGAAAGAAAGAAAGAAAGAAAGAAAGAAAGAAAGAAAGAAAGAAAGAAAGAAATGATTGAATGAATAAATGAAAATTAAATAATAAATAAATAAATAAATAAATAAATAGTAATGCATCTACCCACATATATTATATGACACAGAGAAACAACACAGTCTATGTTGCAATATTTTCAGGATCAGACTCAATAAAGATAATAGGAGTTAGAGCTTTAAATATATTTCTTTTTAATTATGATAGGCATTCTATATTCACTGAATATTCAAGGTAGAAGCGACAGAATGGTGAGGGTGGCTCCTTATATATACAAGGGGTGGAGCTAGGAATGGGAGTGGTAAGTTATGAATACATTAAAGTCCAAAGAATAAGTTAACCTCTGATGTTCCATATATACATTATTTACACATTGGAGAATAAGGCATTTACATCTGACAGTCTAGTTCGGATGTATACCTGTACATGGTGAGAAAAACAAATCTTGTGAGTTTACCAGACAGATGACATAGGGAACAAAGCGGTTACAGAAACTGGTAGTCCTGCTAGATATACTTCGAAACCTCCTCCCAGAGGGGAGCGACAGAAACAGGTCGTGAAGAGGGTGTGTGGGGTCTCTAACAATGCTTTGAGTTCTAAGCACATAGCGCTTATAAGCAGTATCCTGATTGGCAGGAAGCAAGCTACCTATAATATTCTAGGCTGTTCTTACCGCTCTCTGAATGGACTTTCTCTCTGAGGCACTGCAGCCACCAAACCAAACAGCGATGCAGTTTATTAAAATGTTCTCAATTGTTCCTCTGTAGAAAGTAGCCAGGTCAGAAGGAGAAAGATGTGTTCCCTTCATCTGACACAGGAAATGCAGATTCTGGTTTGCACACTTCACTAAAGATGACGTGTGGAGGGACCAGTTCAGATTGTTAGTTATCTGCACCCCCCAGATACTTTGTACTGTTGTCCACCTCTACAGCTGCATCCTTGATACTGAGTGCAGTACGACTATGCTGGCTCTATGTAAGTCTACTTAGGAGACTTTAGGAATTTACCCCCAGTTTATCAATTACTTAGGAGGCGAGAGCTTGGCAGCACAAGGAAACAATCATAATAGAGCTGGAAGGGACTTTGGAGATCATGGAGTCCAGCCCATCAACAACCTAATAGCTAGCCATCAGCTCCCCAACCTACATCTAAAAAGCTACACACAACAGGCACCATATAAATACCACACAGAGAACAACACCTATTCTGCTAGAGAGAAGTTTCCTAAAGATGGGCTCCAGCATGAGTTGGAATGCTCAGAAGACAAAATCTCTGGTCCCAGTCTGTAGAGATTCTCAGTCATCCAGGTCATGGTTCTCCCAGGAGGCAACTTTCTTGTTTTTTTCTTTGAAGACATTTCACTTCTCATCCAAGAAGCTTCTTCAGCTCTGATGGGATCTATCCTGTCTATCCACTATCCTGCCAGAGCTGAAGAAGCTTCTTGGATGAGAAGCAAAACGTCTTCAAAGAGAAAACCAAGGAAGTCCAGTTGCCTCCTGAAAAAGCACCTTTAGGACTCTGATTCCGGTGACTGATTCAGATTGGATCCTGCAACTTTAGGAATAGCCCTTCTTCAGTTTCATTAATACTATTTGCCATTCACTGATCCTTTGAGATCTGCAGGAAGATCTCCACTTCACTGTCATAAAAAGCTTGTGAGGTTTGTAATTTGGCTAACAGGTAGTGGATGGCTCAAATCAGATATTGTAGGAGGAGAGGCTATGGTAGCCAAAAATTGGAGTGAGTCCATCAACACCCTTTTAGACTAACTTTGGCTTATGACTTATAATTTGATTTTTTGAAAGGCTCTAAATCACTAATGTTCTTCTCCATGAGCTCCGTAAGCATAGCTCTGCTGGATTAGGCCAAATTCTTAGTCCAAAATTTGGTTTCTCACAATGGCCAATCAGAAACAAGCAGGAGCTTTTCAAATTACTGTTACTCCCTTTCTCTTATTATTTCCAAACATGATATCTGGCCCCATCTCAGAAGTGTTCTTAAAATAAATAGCCCTTAACCCACCAGGAATCTATCCAACCCTCTTTTAAAGCCATTCAAGTTTTGTTTCTTTGTTTTTGCACTTACAAGTCAATCAGTACTGACTTCTGGTGACCGCCTGGAAGAGTCCCTTGCAAGTTTTTGTTTTCAGATTTCAGAAGTGGTTTGCCACTGTCTCCTTCGTAGGGGTGAGAAAGTGAGTTACTGGCCCAAAGTCACCCAGCTTAGGCTTCATATTACAGGACTAGAACTTGCAGTCTCCCAGTTTCTAGCCTGATGCCTTAACCATTATGTTAAACTGGCTCTTTAGTGGTCTTCACCCAACTCACTTTGGATAATGAATTTCTATTATTAATCATATACAGCATGCTTATCTCCTTCCAAACAGCTTTCATGGATGACCCTGGCCCTTTGCATTTTAAGCAAAAGAGAAAAGCTTCTCTCTGCCCACTTCCTCCATGCTGAGAGTGATTTTTAAATGTTACAATCGTAGCCTTGCTCAATCATCTGATTTTTATACACTGCAATCCTGTCCTCATTCAGTCATCTTTTTTTTTTCTAGGCTAAAGAGTCCTAAATGTTTTAGCCTTCTCTTGTAAGAAAGGTATTTGGTTGCCTGCTCCTGTGGGTTTTTCCATTCTGTAATATCCTTTTTCAAATTTGGTGACTAGAACTATAGAGTTTTTCCAGATGTGGATGTACATTTGCATAAGGGCTTTACAACATCAGGAGTTTTACTTTCCGTCCTAATGCTTCCTAGCATGAAATTTGTCTTTTTAAAATGCTTCCAGCACAGTAAGTCAGTATCTGAACTATCCACCATAGTCCTGAAATCTTTCCCAGGTATTTACAGACAGCTCAGCTCCTAAAGCTGCATGCAGAAATACCTTTAGCTTTATATGTCAGTAGTGGAATTTCATCTAGTCTGTCTTCTGAATTCTGAAAGAATCTCAGGCAGAATTACACTTTTGTTTAAACCATGACTACATTGTTATGCCTGTTCAAGCTTGCAGTCATAGAAAACAAATATAAACCTTTTAGCGCAGTCTGTATGACAGGGCTGTCAAACCCGTGGCCTGCGGGCTGGATACATCATGCGCTGGCCATGCCCACACTCAGTTTAGCAAAGGAGAAAAAAGTCCCGATACATCACATGACGCCACCATGATGATGCAAGTTTGACACCCTTACTATATGAGAAAAGGTAGTGAGAACTTGGAAATATCAACAACGTTCAGGACTCACTTTTCAAAACTATATATACATTAATCCCTTAGATCTATAACTTTCAGAAATCTGAAGTGTAAATTAAACATTTGGTACAAATGCATTTAAAAAGCTCCAACAGAAAGAGGCATTCTGACATTTTCCTGTTATTTTAGACTGCCTCTCCCACAGCTCCTTAATAGCAACCAGGCTGATTGAGTCCCATGAGAGTTGAAGTCCAAAATGTTTTTTTTTTCTTATTTCTTCAAGTCACTCTTGGCTCCTGGGAGCTGCTTGGACAAATCCCTGTAGTATTCTTGGCAATATGGATATGGTTTGTTCCTATCTTTTTCCCAGGACTGAAAGAGAGTGGGTAGCTCAGCTGGTTTCACTCCTAAGGTAGAACTAGAACTCACAATCTCTCAGTTTCTAGCCTGGTAACTTGATCATTAGACCAAACTGGCTTTCCCAAAATGTCTTGCATGCTCAAAAGTACCTAAACCTAACTTACTACTTTGTCAGTGAAAATATCAGGTAATTAAAAAGAAATTACATAGAAGAGTATTAACTAGTTCAGCATGGATGCTGTTCTGCTCACTATCTGTCATGAAAAATTCAAGGTATACAAACATTTATCCACAGATAAATGCTGTTCAATAAAGCAGTCTCTTTGGACTGTTTTTCATAAAACATCCTGGATTTCCTACACAGTCCAATATGTCACTGAAATAACTATACAAAAATATGTTTCCCCTGAAAGTGGTTCTTTCAGTATTTTAGAGAAAGAAAGTTCCTAGAATAGAACAGAACAGAACAGAACAGAACAGAACAGAACAGAGTAGAATAACAGAGTTGGAAGGGACCTTGGAGGTCTTCTAGTCCAACCCCCTATTTAGGCAGGAAACTATATACCACACCCTACACCATATTTTAAGGCATGTAATATTTTATTTCTTTATTCTTCCAGGCAGTGTCCTTAGTATTATAAAATGTTAGCTTAAAGATATTATATCTCCTTAAAGATTTCTTTTACACAATTTTGAATTCAAAAGTTGAATTCACAGGGACACCCAAGTGTTTTAATGACTTTTCTTCATGGCCTTTAAACGTTGGCTCGAAACTAGTAGTGCATCGACATAAAGAAGTTTAATGTCAATTAGAACAAAATGCATGATATACTCACAGCCCTTAAGAGGAGGTAGGTGGGAAAATAGAGATTTATTTTATATTTATTCTCATTTATTAGGTTCTGGGGATATTTCTGATTGTGGTAGATAAGTGATAA